TCCGAGAAATAACCTTGGTAACCATGTGAGGATACCCCACGCCCAATACGCTGTATAGTGTTTTCAGTACAGAGTTTCATGTGTGCCATGAAGAGCATGTCCAAGCATGTTTGGTTTGACCAGGACAGAACCAAAGTTGTCAAGCACAACACGTGTTTGGCTCAAGCGCACTGAGTGTGAAAACTAACGGAAACGTTCAGCCCAACAAGCGCAGGAGCAGCAACAAAAAGGTGGTTTTTACTTCATGATCTTTACAGATGGAAACTCAGGGTTTTTTTTGACATCAAGAATGCTTACGTGATGGTACGACAAACACAACAATGTTACCGATTGGAGAAGGAATCAGTTGGTTACTGAAACGTTGTCTACCGGCCAGAGAGCCGCAGCGAGAGAACGGTGTGAGTTTTTTTCGGAACATCCTGCAAGAGTTACGTTTCGTTTTCAGCCAGCGTTTGCAAGCTCTAGGAAAGCATTGCGCAAAGAATTTGCTTGTCTCTATCCATGTAGATGATGAGATGTTGGCAGGAAAGGAAGAACCAGTTGAATTGTTGATCAAAGAGTTGAAAAAGCATTTTAGTGTAGAACCGGGAGGACCGTTCCCAATTGGACCCCGCGGAGATGGAGAAGAAGTCAGTTACCTGAAGAGGAAGTATGGGTTTGTGCAAGAAGGCGTTGTCGTACATCCGAACGAGAAGTATGTCAAAGCCCCTACAGTAATTGTACAGCCTCGAGAAGCTTAAGGAGAAAGCAACACCGAACATCCGGATCTGATGAAGGCAGACAAGAGTAAAGAATGTACACCGGAAGAAGCTAGAAGGTTTAGGTCAGGTTCAGGCAGCGTTCTGTATTTGTCACAGGACAGAGTTGACATTCAGTTTGCAACAAAATTATTTGCTAGCGCTATGAGTAAGCCTACTCAACAAGCAGTGAAGTGCCTGAAGCACCTGATAATCTATCTGAAAGGACCAGGACACGAGCATTCTTACTTCCCTATGTTTCCGAACCTGTCACTTGATAGGTTCCTGCCCGCTGGATATGCTCCTCTACGCAGATGACCTGGAATGGTTGGTCACGACCAGAGAAGGACGGATTGGCGTCGCCCTTAGCTACGGCTACTTGTCTGTCGTGCGATACCCGTTCAAGTGGGCTAAAACGGGAGGTGACTTTCGAGCAGAGTGGCCAAGGATGGACATTGAATACTCCAGCTACCGGCTGGGTTGACTGACAAACGTTTCAAGTGGTTTGTGATGGTTACGTGACAAAGTTGCGAGTGGCCATGTCTCGGCCACGGAGATGGCTCAGGGACTAGGCCGCTAGGCCGCCTAGGGTTCGCTGCTATTTCACTGGATGGGGGAAGGGCTCTCCTTGGGCCGCTATATGCGTGGTCCTCAGTGATACGCGGAAAGCATGGATTGATGAGCGTATCTTTACCTGCCCTGTTGAGAGTTTTGTTCTCCTGGCTTGTATATCGTTTCGAGAAGGGCAATAGATTGCAGAGACTCCTCAGACGGCCAGGGGAGATTCTCCGATATCCTTTTTCACAGATGAAAGCGGAGAATAGGAGAGCTTGGATTTGGTTCTCGCTAGAGGCCGAAAAGTCCTGGGAGCTGTGGGTCTTTTCCAAATCTTCCTTTAACAAGGTGATAGCTGTTTTGGAGCTTCTGGCTACCCTGAAGGCGGTGAAGCTGTTGGTTCCGGAGATGGCTATCCGCGGCTACACAGATAATCAATCGAATGAGGCATTACTGAAGAGATCCATGACAAAATTTCCATCCTGCCTGCTACTGATGGAGATGGCCGAGGAGCTATCTACCAAGAACTGCGACATGCAGCCAACCTGGATACGTCGGGTTCTCCAGCAGCCAGCGGACGACCTAACCAACGAAAAAAATTCCAGATCCCCCTTACAGAGGGAGCTGAGATGGCGGGTGCTGAATAATCTGTTGGGCCACGCGGATGGCTACTACAACGAGGTAAAAGTCGGGTAGGCGTGGACCAACAAGAAAGTTCGGGAAATCTCGAAGGCAAAATCCTGGTCGCCCGAAGTGGTTACACAAGGAAGCTGGCCTACCAAAGGCAGGGAGACGGCTCTCGGGCTACGCTGGGATTTCGCCACTCCGATAAAAAGTGTGAGTCTGTCCGTTCTGCTAGCGAACGCTTTTCCTCGACTGAGTGGACATTGATTTTATAGTTGGAAAGACATCCGGCTGAATGGATGCTAGCTTAGGTAGCGTTATTTCCCATTGAGGCTTCTTGTGCAATCTTCCTGGACAGGATTGGGATTGGTGGTGGAAAAAACAGAAACCTAGTGCACGATTTGGATACATTTCGTTCATGGTGGCTCGGGTCATCCGCCTCCACATGCAGTCGGCTGCCGCGGTAGTTACCGGTATGCGTCGTGTGACGTCCAGAAAGCTCACGAAATTAGGTTGCAGTTCGACTTGGAGACATCCAACTTCCCCACAGCAGGTTTTTATTGACCCACTTGTGTTTTGGTAGACGTAAGCCACTTCCAATTTGAATTACCTGAGTTTGTGTGAGCTATGGTGGTTTTCTTTACATGGGCGCGCAACATTCTGCACTTAAGCACCCCGTATCCTTGAACGCCGGGGTCAAACAACAAACTGTACGACGTGAACAAAATTGCCGGAGGTGGAAAACAAGAGTTACGGGAGGAAAAATTCGGGGGGGGGGGTGGAGCCAAACCCACTCCCACCGAATATGGAAGAATGACTTGCGCACCGCTTTATTGCGATGTTTCAGTTTCTGTGTTCTTGGCATCTGAGAGTTGGCACCGGCAAACGTTCTTTGCAGCAGAAACGTGGAGTCATCAATGCTGTTTCCGAGGCACCTGTCCATGCATACACTCTTCCGGAGTGTGACAGGGGGACTTGATTGGGGTGAGATGGCCGACCTCCTGGTGGACATTGACTGGGTGTGGGGATATTTCTTCACCGGGTATATTGCATTTTCATACTTTGCAGTTTTGAATGTCATCACAGCCACTTGGCCAATGGGTGTTTTATGAGACTTGAATGTGAAGTTGTATATACACACGGCACCGTTTATGCAACGAGAAAGTTTCATGCACCTGTTGAGGCAGTGTTTTGTCAACGGGCGATTGAGAGTGCTGAGCAAGACGAACAGAACATCTTGCAGCGCTTTTTGGAAGATCAGCGGATGCTAGGCTTGCTATAGCGACAAGATATGATGGACACGTTGTACATCTTAGCGATATTCAGAAACACAGGACCACCTTATCAAGGTGAACGTCAGGCCTTAGAACTTGCATTCAATTTGGTACACAACTCAAGTTCCAATGTTTTGTAAAGTTATTCCCTTGCATCTTCAGCCCCGATACGAATTAGAGATTGAAGTCGTGTTGTCGTGTTCGGCCTGCATTCAGTTTATGAATTCCCTTTTGGAATGTCCCCCAAAAAGTTGTAAGCAAACCTTTGCTGAACCGTCACGTGATGCAATGGTGTATTCTGTTCCATGGTTTACTCAAGATTTGCATTGCTGCTTTTCCGATATTACCCGGGAGCTTATGTGAGGACGCTGCTTAATTTTCCAGCAGGCCTGCAAGCTCATGGTGCATTGTTTCGTCGAATCAAGCCAAGGCGCTTCAGACATCGCATCGAGCAGCTCTTTTCCAGATTCGATGGCATGCTGCCTTCATCAGACGTTGTATGATGAATGTCCAAATGACTTCTGATGGCAGTTTTCGGATGTTTTCGGGTAAAACCAATGTGAGAACGTTCTTGCCTGTGCGCATCCACCCTGGCCGACAATTTGAGATCAACCATGTATTTTGCTGGCACTCATGTTGATGAGGGGTTGATGTCTTCTATACTGGAAAAACATGACCAGTCATCGCATGTCGTGACGAACTTCTGCAACTATTGCACGGAGGCGGTTTCTAACTTTCTAGGCACGGCCGCAGACAGAGCTGGGATCTAATCTCTGCAATAGCACTGCGGGAAGCAGTTGGGAAGCAGGGTTGTCACGCCGAGCAGCAGCAGTGGTTGCGGCAGCGGCAGCCGCAGCAGCAGCGGCAGCGCTGCAGTTGCGTTGCGGGAAATGCCTACGTATCTTTGGCGCCTTATGAGAAGGGAGCCCTGCACAGCCCAGAGAACCAATTTGGCTTTGTAAAAGAAAAGACTGTAGCTGAAGCAGCCGTGACTTAAGTTGGAATTGTGTTTCTGAGGTCTTGAGAGAGATGGCGCCATCACGCTGAGCGAGATGGAGTTGCCTGTTCTGCATCGGTGAATGCCATTGTTTTTCCAGCTGTACGTCTGTGAGTGGTCGAAGTGCTGCAGCCAGTGCCGCCGGGCGTAAACAAGCTTGCCACTGGCACTTGATCTGGCATTGTGCTGAGGCAGTTTTTTAACGATGAGGAGGTGAGGGCCATGTTCCAGTCTCTCGATTTGACAGCGAGGCCTGTTTTGAGGGTGCTGGTATTGTCTGTGTGGGGCCGCAAGATCCTTTTTGAGCAATTTCGAGATTTCTTCTCCTTCGCAGGGTGCGTCAAGGGTCTAAAATGCACTGTAGCTGTAGCTTGTGCATCTCATGAGTGCGATGGGGAAGTTGGGGAAGCAACTGCTTTTCAGTGACGGTGCGGAGACGGATGCTTTTCCCTCCTGTTGTGAGGGATTCATGGACTCTCTTCAAACTGCTGGACGAGGAAGGCAATGGCGACATTAACCTTTCTGATGCTTGATACGCGATACCAGTATGCCAGCAGTCCAATCTGCCTTGAGGGATGCTAAGCCTAGGCACGTGGATCATCATCGGCATGCAACATGCATACGGCGCGTTACATTGCATGGCATTGCATCGGAAGTGTTCCATCGAAGTCACGATTACCATTATGTCATTTTCAGTGGTGCTGCACAACTCAGGAATTCACTGATGGGTGCTTGCGGCTGCGCGGGCCTGCAAAGGCTCTGACCAATTGTGCATGACAGGATTGTGCTTGACGAGCAGGATGTAGCAAGTGCATTCACATATATTTGCTCCATGAGCGTTGCTTGATAGTGATCGGACGCCTGTGCATATGGATGCCAATCTGTGAGTAGTTCAATGATGGCCTTCATAGGCACTGGACATTGCTTGCGTGATGGATGAAAGTCGTCGGATCAAGCGCGCCTCGAGCAAGACTTGCGAGAAATCCATTCCAGCTTGTGCCATGCCCCTGTGTGGATAGTCGGCATTCGGTGACTCATCATGTGCCGCCAAGGGAAAGTAATGATAGCTGAAGAGCGCCTCTACAACATGGAGATGTCAGTCGGCCAGCTGTCAGCGAGATTGAAATCGACTCTTGTTAGCCATTTTGGTTTCCCGGAAGTAGGCAGCAGGCAACATTGTGTGTGCTAACCGAGGACTTCGGCAGCAAAGGAGCCCGTGGCACCCAAAGAGGCCATGAGCTTTGAACCATTTCTTGCTATACCCGAAAGACTCACTTTGCAAGGCTATTGGGACGTGCAACTTGCTCTGCTGAAGCAACCGCTGAGCCGAGCCAAGCCAAGGATCCACCGCTTCTTGCAGGAACTGCGCTGGATCTAGGCTCAAGGCTTAGCAGTTTGTGATGCATCAAATGGGCGTCGAAATCTCAGCAGGGTTACATTTGGCGCCAAATTGCCAAGGCTTCATGTGCAGCGCTGTCGGGAGTGCTTCGCGGCTGCTGTGATGCTGTGCTGTTTGCTTGAAGGATTGACAGGAGCCCTGCCTCACAGTCGTCCAGACATCGGAACGGTGTTTGCTGCAGGGGTGAATTTGTTCGGGCTTTTCCAACTGCAACGTTCATGCTTTTTGAGTAACCTCCCTGTGTCGCTTGCATGATTGCGTAGGCTTCGCCAGTTGGCGACCACAATCTGCACATTCCCGATGTCCCCTATGACATTGGTCCTGACCTCGACCTGTCGCTTCGGCCTCGAGCACTACCAGGCTGGCAGTTGCAACGCAACGCAGAGCAGAGACATCCGGCGACACAAACGATGCAACGGAATCTGAAGGTCACGAAGCGCAAAGGCTGGAAGCTGCTCAGCTAAGTCGAGAAATGTCCACCTGGTAGCTGTGATGCACCCGTCCGGCTGTTAGGTAGTATGCATCACTGAGGGGCAGCATTTTCAGGATCTGCCATACGATGTTGGTCCTTCGAGTGGCTTTGCTGTGAAGCAAATGTCGTTCTGATTCGGCTGGATGGCCACTCCCAGATGAGCGATGCAATGCGATCGATGCGCTCCAAATGTAAAGTCTTGTTGTGAGGGTGCTCATGGAGTTGTTGATTTGAACAGCACATGCCACGTCCCGAACCCATTGCTTTCAGCGCGCATTCATGCGGCATCACATAGCGCGTGCGTTAACGAGCTTTGATCAGTCGAAGACTGGTCAATGCCAGCAGATATATTAAACATCTGTAGCACATTGTAGCAGTCTTGGAACAGGCAACCTTAAGCGGGAAGCTTTTGGAATTGTCCGAGTTTTGTCCTAAGCAATGATTGGACGCTCTCCTGCAGCACTTAAGCTTGACCAGAATAAGCTACAGATGTTCTGTAGACTTCTCAGAGACGCAGATGCCAAAGGCATGTTCAAGCTTCTGCCAGTGTCAGAGCACTCCAACTGCGCACCGAGAAAATGCTGTTTTAGCGCGTCGAGGACACAGGTTCCTAAAATTCCTTGCAAGAGCGTCTTGTAGCAAATGTCCGTGCAAAACACCTTCAGGTCTGTATCATAGCTTGCTACTAGCCGCCATAAGATTGCAGACCAGGCAGACTGAGTGGAGCGTGGAGCGTGTGTGCTTCTAGACTTCAGCTCAAGGATTCTGATGCGACGAAGCAACATGAAGCGAAATTGCGAAAATCCAAAAGGCTGGCCTCAGCGCCTCAGCGCCAGCCAAGGAGATCCCAGGACGCCCACGCGACCAAAGCCATGAGTTTGGGAACTCAGCTGAGGAAGGAGCGCATATGGCCCAAACCAGGGCCATCCAGGGCTTGGAAAGCCTTCAGATGGGCCAGTGAGAGCAGGGGATGGTTGGGGCAAACCCTGTGACTTCACGCGGCTGCATGCCTCAGCTGTGAGGTGCACGAAGGGAGGTGGTATGCCACGCGAAGCGTGAGATCCCTTTCAGTGCATCTCTTCAGCTCCTCTGGCAGGCAGCTGCCACATCCACAGTTCAGCTCGCCTCAGGACCACTTGGAGACTGCAGCTTTGTTCGGGTGTCATCACCAGCCCTGATGCCTATATCTTGCAGGAGCCCGCTGCCAATCTGGCTGAAGACTCTCAGCAAGCAGCATCCTGAGCAACCTGTCTTGCTTGCGTTGCACAGCAACCCATGAATTCTTTGTTTTCCGGGAGGGTCAGGCAGTGCTTCGAGAACTGTTCTTGAATTGCTGTCCGGACTTCCACGTCAACTGTTCTGCTCAAGCTGAGCGGTATCGCGTGCCTGATATGGTGCACCGCGAAGCCTGAGGAAAGTCCCGGGAACGATGACGTATCCCAGGATCCGGTTGCCCAGGCCCAGGGTGGAAGTCCAACTGACTCACTCTTGAGGCGACTTCACAAGTCTGATGCTCCCGTGAGGCATTAATGGAGCAAGTGGCAGCAGCAGAGGCCTGGCCGAAGGGTGGTCGCGTGAGAATACGGCAGCTTTGCAATGCTTTGCAATTCTCCGCGCCGTCCAGGCTGCCACTGAAGGCTGATGCGTGGCACAGCGACGGTTGAAAAATTGCAAATGTGATTCCGGTCTTTGCCTTTTTTTGGTTGCGCAAGTATGGGGATCAACGAGAAAGGCCCAGTGCCGTTTCACTTGCATCTTCTTCCCACAAGCCAGGGTGATCCCCCAACAGATAGGGCCATCTAGGGTGGCTGCGGAAGCGCCATCGTGTGCGAACCAATCGCAATACAATCGGAGACTTTAATGCGGAGGCATGCAGAGGCCATTTTGCTTTTTTTCCCTGTCCCGGTCTCCTGGTGGCCTGGTCTTCTGGTCCCCTATTCCTCCAGTCTCCTGGTCGACTGTCATGAGCGTCTAACCACTGCCAGGTGAGCTTTGAGCAGATGGACAGGTTTGGCACAAAAAACCTGCAACTGTGAATGCTAGACTGCCGTATTGACGCTGCACTGTGCTTCACGTCATATCTAGACTCGTATTGCAATTCTGAATTAATAGCTCTGGCTGTATATGGAATGTCCAGGCTGGACCACCTCGAGCCGTTGTCTTGTGACAATCTGGCTACGACATCAAATCAAAGGCGTAGAAGGTACATGTTCTCATCTTCATGTTTTAGCAAATGCCCGCCCCTCCTCCGCCCTGTGCAACCCCCCTTGCTGCTTCCGAAAAGCAAATACAATGACTTAGAAGTCCTATCAAAACTGGCCAAGAAGTGACATGTTCTCATCTTCGTGCATGTTTTGCGGATGGGGGCAGGCTGCCCCCACCCGCGCCCCCCCCAAACCGCCAAACCGTTTCCAACGGCCAAATACGGCCAACACAACGCTCGGCAAGCCCTTTCAAGAGTCATGCAGCTACGTGTTCTCATCTTCGCCCATTTTTTCATGCAACTATCACTCAATTACTGCCACAACTACCGTTACTCTGGCTTCCGTTATTGCTACAGCTGTTGCCTCTACTATTACTCTCTTCATGATTACGATTCAGGACCAATGAATCATTACTGTTACAATTGCTGTGCCATGACTATGGGTATTGCGATGTATTGTGCCATGCCCATGATTAATGATTTCTGTCGTTGCTGTCACCATGAGTGTTATTACCCTGCTCAGATATTGATACGACTATTCCTCCTCAGTACTCTTGCCTGGAACGTCCTCAAATTTTGGCTCGACGTTTTTCTGTCTCGTGGCATGCGCTCACATGTTGGCAGCAGATCCGCAAACATCGAGCTCTCATGTGAAGGATCTTCATGCCTTGACGGAGTCAAGCTCCCGCGTAAAGCATGCTCACATTCTTGCTTGGAATCGAGTTCTCACGTGGAGTGTGCTCACCTTTTGGCACGAAATCGTTCTTGCGGATGGAGCGTCCTCGGTTTTAGTCACCTGATGCATTCTCGCACTTGGACTCAAAATTGTGCTCGCACGAGCATCTCCGGAAAAAAAGAAAAACAAATCGTTGGGTCCTGATCCCTTCAATCCCTGAGATGATGCACGAGCATCAACAGCATGCGCAGGAAGTGTGTCATAACGACATGGACTCTTGCCTCAGCCGTTCTACCGCATAATTCCAGTCGGCTCATTGCAGCTGACAAAGCCAGCCGTCCAGCAAAATTGAAGAACACGTGAGGCATGGACAGTTCACATGAATGTACTGTGTTGTTGAATGATGGAAGAATTCAGGCTCTCAGGTAGTTTCGCTACCGGAACGGACTGCGAACGGATCTTGAGGACCGGAGGGTCAGGAACAGTACAGGAAGAAGAGAAGGAGGGGGCGCAGCAAAGTACACCAGTACAAGCAGGAGTAGGCGGAGTTCAGGATGCTAGTTGCATTTAGTTGCCCCGTGAGTTTGTGGATTGGATGTTTCCTACAGCCAAGGCAAGCAGGTTCTAAGCAGTCAGGCATTCTTACTTGGACTATCTTGAATCTTGGACTCACGCAGTGCTCCATGGGCCATGGCTGGCTCTGTGGCTGGCTGCCCCTCGCATCCCTGGCAGAAGGCCAAAAGCTTGGCCGTCTTTGCCTTTTCCAACGAAATGCCCACATGATAGGATGATGCTTTGGACGGATGCCTCTTAGACTCTTTGATTGTACTTCTGCTTGTGTGCGTCTCGGCACTTGCCATTTTCTTCTGCTCTTCCTTGAAGTGTGTTGGCTGGAATGGTTCTGGGGACGACTTTTTTTCACACCACTCCACATAGACTAGAGTGGCAGAAAAGGGTGCTACGTCCAGAAAAGATGATCAGTGCTGATTCGGAATAAATCGCTCAGGCATCAGTTTCTACGTGCTACACCCTGTCATTCTTCCCTGCAACTGGGAGATCGTCCGACTGTCACGAAATCAATGATGGAATATAGAAGCTTCTTCGAAGCATTCGCTCGCATCGTGGGCTCTACAGGTTGCTACCACGCAGTGCATGATCGTTTTGGTTAAGGCAGTGCATCACAAAGAATTCCCAATTTTCCAATCCGCCCAGGGCCTGCTGAATGTATCATGTAGTTGTTAATGTGCCCTTTAGCATCTTCCTTGGGATCTGAAAGGCTCCTACCTTCTGTCTTGGATTGCATCCAACGGCTCTGCTCGGCGGGACATTGCATATTCGAAAGCCGCAGAAGCCAGGGAGTCTCGAGGCTGGAAGTGCTGCGCCATTTAGTTGCACATAAGTTGTTCCCAACATGTAGGTTGCTGTCATTGCTGCAATGGACATGTTTTGATGGATGCTTGTCCAGCTGACCTGCTTTGTGCAAATTGCTTGGGAAGTGCTTTAGCACGCGCATAAACAGTCGCATGATTTTTCTTTGCAGGTCGCTTGCGCTTCCAACGGTCACGCTCTGACAGTGTGCAGCACGATTAGCATGTATGATGTCGTGGATGCGTGTCTTTGTTCCAGACTTGGTGGCGCGGAAAGCTCAAAGGCCAAGACGGGTTCGCCCAGCTGCTGGAAACCTGCTCACTTTCAGGAGGCGCAGAATGTCTGGGTTGACTGCAGCTTGGACGGCTTTGCATGTTGAGAGGCTTGTTCGGGATCAGAGCCGACAGCTGCCGCCATTCACGGTGCATCCCAAGTATGCAGGTGCCAGGGCATCCTTCCGCCTCTCCTCCACTCCCTTCCGTTTAGGGTCTTGTGTGTTGGTTGTGTAGATTGAGCGATTTCGGGTGTGTTTTTTTGAGTTTAGGGTCTGAGGGCTTCCAGTTGCAGGCACGTGACAAGGGATCAGAGAAAAAGGCTCACGAACAAAAGAAAGCAAGGCCTCTGTCATCTGTGCTGTGTGTGTGGGTTAAGCTAGAATCTGAAGCAGTGAAATGCAGCGGTTTGCAGCGGCAAATCCTCACAACATCGCAGCGAGAGCTGTGCAGTCAACCAGGAGCTGGTACTGTGAGACCGCAATGGAATCAACCAAGTGTGTTCATGTACATCGGAAGGGATCCCTTTGCCTCAGTGCAACAACATCTCATATTTTGTGCGTCCGTTGAAGGGGGTCAGCTGGCATTTGTAGCTCCTAGGTTGTCTGGCAACTTTCCATTGTAGCGTCTTGTTTTCCAGTACGAGCCAGGCAATGTGTTGGGATGAGCCAGAAAACAGGAGAAACTAGAACATCATCAAGTCGATTTACTCCATGCGCTAGAGGCGCAGGGCTCTTGCACACACATGCGGAGTCTTTGAGGGATTCTGAGTTGGTTGCGTGCAGCGTGTCGTTCAGAGCACATGTCAGTACGTGGCGAGTTGGCCATGCCTGCATGTCAGCAACATTGTTGGCTTGACCCGGAAGGTTGGAAGGGGGCGGGGGAGGGGGAGGAGAGAGGGGAGGTGTATCCATCATCGGGGGCTGTTTTCTCAACTTTTGGTGCTCAGGAAAGAGAGGGGCGATGGAGTCAGGTGGTGGCACAGGCTGGAGGGGGGCGTCACCGCATCAAGCCCAGAAGGCATCTGAGAGGTATTAAAAAGGACACACGCGCTCCATGACATCCGCTGGGCTGTGCTTCCCGTTCGGCAAGCAAGGATGAGGTGAAAAGACTTTGGGAACCACGCTCTTGGCGTCTTGGGCTCGGCGGAGTCGGGGATGATGATATTGCGGTCTAAGGTTGAAGGCGTGGGCCGTGGGTGGTCGTTTGTTTTGATTTCGAGCGTTCTCAGGTACTCGTAATGTGCATGTTGCATTTCAGTTTTTTGTGGTCAGGAGGATCTCGCTTGACGTGCAAAGTCTCACAGGGTTTCTGTTTGCAGTCGGCCGCTCCTAGCTGCATCATCGAGGCCTGCCTAACTTTACAGCAAAATGCATGGCGTTGCATGCCTGCGCTCTCTGCGTGCGATGAGAGCCCCATGCAGGCGATCTTCCCTGCGTCCCGGTTTGGAGGCAACGGCCAGGATCTGTAGCAGTCTTCGCAGCTTGACGGCATGCTCCAGCCACCAACCGATGCAACTGACTTGGTGACTTTGTTTGTGGCGCTGGTCTAAGATCCACGTTGCAAAGAGTGGCGGCACGGCCTTTCGCGAAGCACTTCTCCGAGGCCCAAAAACAGGCTGGATTTGGGCGGATGCATGAGTCTTTTTGTCAGTGCAGGATGCTCAAAGCGTAGTTGGCCGGCAGCAAAGAGGATCAACTCACTCAATGTCGAGGTGAGAATGCTCTGCGCTTTCAGCCAAATTTTCCATCTGAACCTCCTCTGCATGATCCAGAGGGAGCCTTGCAAGTTTGCTTGTTGCAGTTCGTGGAGCGGTCCCACCCTGATAGCCACGGTTCGCAGATAAGGGCGCCACTACCTTCAACGCGACATGACTGCACGTGGCCACTTGCAGCTGTTCAGCCACCACAGCAAGACTGCAGTGAACAGAGAACAGATCTTTGCGATCAAGGCCACCACTTTTGCCACCGGTCGTTTGCACTGGGCTTACACCAAGCAGACACTCAGTTTTGAAGCAGCTGCAAAGCTAAGCGGTCTGATGTCCTTCGTGAGTTTTCCACGTGTGTCTGCTTTCCGAGTCTGTCAATCTGGGTCTTTATTGAGGGACCCTTGGTCGGGACCATTGTGGCATCTCGTAGCTAATTGGGGGGCAAAATTGGGAGTATCTTTACCTATCTGCGAATATAGCAAGGGCTGTTTCGAGACTGCAGGCACGAAGCACGGGTTCCATGATGGCAGTACAGAAAAATAACAGCAGCAAGATAAGTGCAAAAGTTGCAAAAGCATCGCTGTTTTTGGTGCTTTGGCTTTTGTGCCTCGCAAGAACCCCCAACTCAAAGACCCGCTTCCAGTTTGACATGGTTTTGACCCTTCGAATTCTGAGTCGGATTCTTGGCCTGGAGAGGTCATGCAGCGCAAGGTTGGCAGTAGAGATGGAAGTTTGAGAGAATTACTTCGAGCAGATGTTTAAGCAAGGTCAGAAAGAGAGCCATCTACAAGCAAAATACCAGCTATCGACAAAATCTCTCCACCACGCGCGGGACCAATGAAAATGCAAGCTCTCAGACCATGGAGCACGCCAAAATTGCTTCTACTTGCGTGCCGGCTCCGGGGAACGCAGGCAAGCTCCGAGTGAAACTGCCAGAGAGGCGTGGCATCACCAAGAAACCAAAAGGAACTAGGAGGTAATTAAGACCATGTATGCCATCGTGTACCTTCAAACGGCCAAAGCCAGGTGAGCAAGCACACTAGTAGTACACTAATAAACGGCATCCTGAAAGCCACTGAAAACCGCGACTGCCGCGAGCCTGCTTTCCTTCTGTGTATAAGGAATGCTTTGGAGATGGGCTCTGTCGGAATGGTTCCACAAGGTGAGTCTGCTTGGGAATTGCAAGCCGCAGAGCAGCAAAGGAGAGGCTGTTCGAAGGCTTGGCCATGCGACGCAATGGGAAAGCTTAAGGTACCGCGGCTGTTGGCGGAGGCAGCAGAGCGGAGCCGATGCCGGAGCCAAAGGAAGCAGGCCAGGCATGGCCATGCCAGGCCAAGTGTCAGACATTCACATTCATTTCATTCACATTTGCATTATGCGGAGGACAGCACAATGCTGCCCTGTCTTTGCCTCCGGGAAGCATCCAGAGGAATTGGGAGCTTGTAAAAGCACTGCAGTTGGCAGATGTGCAAGACGTATACAAGTGCTTCTTTCTCAGGTACACTTCACTTCGACTTTTCCGTCGTCCAGCCCCTTCTGCAGTCCTTGCCGGGTCGAGTTCTAGGTGCTGCGGTACATCTGGATCCCAGTGCAGGATGATAGCAAGGTCAAGATTTGCAATCGCTAGAAGTCTCTTCCACAAGAGCTCGGGTTCCAGATTCTATTGTGCAAGAAACTCTGTGCTTCGAAATGAGCTCCAGTTTTCCGTTTTGAGCATGGTCTGAACAATAGCGGTGTCTGCCGCTGCACTGCAAAACTTGTTCATGGCCACCAGAACCGATTTGCGTCGCTTTGCAGATGTTTGTATATGTTTGTGGTTCTGGAGGCTTCGCAATTCTTCGAAACCCCTTGCAGCGCTACTTGTTCACGACTGAGCTGTAGATTCCTGCATTTCCTGCAAACGCGCGATGTTGAGAGCATTCAAGCCTCTAGCCTTCTCCAGCTTGAAGAATCACTGGCAGCTGCAGGTCACACTTCTATTTTGCTGCTTGCTCGCAAGATAGGAAACAAGGTTCGGCTGTGACAGCTTCGGTGAGCTCAGCTTTTTTGATCATCCCCTCTCAGGCGAGGAAGTTAGATTGGACGGCTCGACTTCGAATCAGAAGCTTGGGTCCTGTCCAGTGCTCGATGGGACTTGGACTGGAATTGCTGCGCATTTTTCTCGAGCTGTTCTGCAAGCCTGGAGAAGGATGTGAGCAATGCGAGCTATCTGAGCAGTTGCCAGGTACTTGTACCATCCGGCCGCGCTGCTAGACACACTGATGGTTTGGCAGGCGGGAGCATCTGGTGAACTCTACCGCTCGTCCCATAATGTCCCATTTAGACGGGCGTCCAAGGATTCGCGCGTAGACTTGGCTTTGGGTGCAGGGCGTCTTACGCATGCACATGCCTACACATGCCTGCACTGGTTTGGAGCAGGTAGAGAGTTGTAGGTTACAACTTCTGCGTCGAGCGAGTCGAGCTTGCAGGATGGCATGGCTGGCACAGCCTGGCTGAGCGGCCTTTCGGTGCATGTAGGTGCTGGGTCTACAAGGACTTGCGTAGCCGCGCAGCCTCAATCTCGATACCGCAGGCTACCACATGTTACCGCATGGCCAAAGAGCTAGCTTTTCCATTGTGGCATGTTGATAGCTACGAGGAAAGAGTCTGATGAGGCGAGAATGTCGGCATTGTTCAGGACGTGCGGATGGTCTGTAAAGAAACCCTTTCGCTTAACGTTAACCCCTTTCCTGCAACAGGCAATAATGTTTCTTTTCCATGGGGACTGACTGAAGGTGTGCAAAGCGTTCTTACTGCCAGGTGTGTATTCGAATGTATCAGGAAGCTCCTAGTGCAGAGTGTTAGCAGTGCTGAACATCAAGTAGCTGCAGGAATCGAACTGCAACACTGCAGCGCGCCGTGCGAAATTATCACAAACTCACCTTCGTTGGCCTTCTCGAGGATGTTGGACATAGGGTGTTTGTAGGGCTTCGGGTTTGTGGTTGAGAGGGTCTTTTTTTTGTGAATGGTCTGGGCTTGCTTGTTGGAACATATGGGGACCCCAGACCCCGATTGCAGTTTTTTGTATCGGGTCTTAAGTCTGTTAGCTTATGCCGTCGGGTTACACAAAGTCAACAGTTGCAGAGTCGGGCTTTGTTTGCAGCATGCATTCATCTGGTCATGATCGGTTGACGGCAGTTTGGGGTGGTTCAGGGCTTCGGTTTGCTTTTTTTTTGGCGGTTTCAGGTTCGGGGTTGTGGAGGAGGGTTTGGGGTTGTTCAGATTAAGAGCTTGGGATCGTAGGGTCTATGCCTTTGGGTGGGTTGAGGGTTCGGGCTTGTTTAGAATGGTTTAAGATTCAGGTGTTGAGGAGTTATAATCCGGTTTTAGGGTTTTAGGCTTGGAGGTTGTTTGTGTTGGAGCTGTTTAGGTCGAGGGCTAAGAGATGTCTACGGCTTTGGGTGGTGTAGATGCTGTGTTTACGGTGGTTCTGAGTTTCGGGGTTTGGGGAGTTTGGATCTGGGGTTGTTCATGGTTTGATTGGGCCTACGGGGGTGTTTGGGTAGAGGGTTGTTCACGGTTCTATATACTGCGCAGGCTCGTGCTCATCGAAGTATCCCTAAAATCTGAACAGCCATGTCCCAAGCCTGCAGTGGACCTGGCAACCCTCGGCCTTCATCCCTGGCATGACTTTACCTTCTAAATTGTTCTGCAAAATTGGGAATTTCGAAGTTGCTTCACCTTAAACATGCATGTGAGGGAGACTATAGGTCGGCTTCTCGTGCACGCGCTAGTCAAGTCTTCAGGTAGCTTAGTCCAACACAGTTTGTTGTTTTCCCAGCAACAACTAAACCCTGAAACCCTACAACTCTAGTTTCAGCAGAAGCGGCAGTCAACGAGTCCGAGTGCAGATCTCGACCCTTGCTTTTGAGCTTTAATTGATTCTAGTGGCATCAAAGAACCGCCAGAACCTGATTTGTTATAATAGTAATTTGATCCGACACAGAGAAGTTGTGAGCCGCAGGCCACTGATTGATCTGTTACAAGTGATCTGTTTCATTGCGCCGCCGTTAAAGATTGTGAGCTTCTACGTGTCCACCACGAACGGGAATACAAAGTGCTAGATTCAGATGGCGTGCGCGAGCGTCTCCTCTTTCAGCCGATCCTAGAGGTTCTCGCTTGATGCTTTTGGACTGAACATGATGGAAAATATGGAAACAGCTCTCCAGGATCTTGACGGATCTTTGCGGCTGCAATCTGGCCGCACCGAGACGTTCGTGCGACGGGAATTCCTTCTCAAGACCTCCTATCGCCGTAATCCTGAATCCTCAACCCCTTCTGAAAACTGGTTTTGGGGATGGGCGGGGACATACCATGAACTACGTCTCTTCGCAGCTATTTGCGCCGGCCTTGTTTAGAGATTGAATCCTCTTCTTCCTCAGCGACAGAAATTGGATTCAGGGGGGCTTAGAGGGGGACAGCACATGAGATGTCCACTTCGCGATGGTTTGACAAAGTTCGGCTAACCCCGGCCCCCTTCGTCAACCCCATGGATCAGCTTGGGTTTTCATAGACTCTGAATCCTAAGCCATAAGCCCAACCTTAAAGATCTCAACTCACAATGAATCAGCCCCAACATGTTTACACTAGCCCCAACCGCCCTAGGCTTGAAACCCGAACACGTCGAATCCCTAACCCTAATCCACGAGCAGAATCAGGAATTCCAGCATGTCCTTTTTTGCAAGATTGGGGCTTGCGTTCAAGAGCTCCAAATCACCACGGCAGCAGCCACGGCCGTGACGCTTGAGCCAATCTGGTTCGAGCATGTTGGACTTGGCGAGGGCTTCAACGACCCTAAATTAGAGCCGTCCAACCCAGGCTATGACATGTCAACACTTTTCCGCACCTCAACCCACTAAGGTACCTGAAAGATGCAAACTATTCCCATGGCTTTGAGACCTCAGATTTGCCTGCAGATTCTGCGCTGTCACAGCATGCATCTTTTTATACTTAGCATGAAAATGTCGAAAGTAGTTGCCTTAAGTAATCTGATGGTTTTCAGCGCCAGAAGGTGCGTTCTGCAAAGCGAGACTTTTCGTTCAAAAGCATGTGGTTTCTGCAAAACATTTGTTTTGCAAGTATTGGGTTTCAAAGTTCATAACAAGTTGCTCGTCGCAGAAAAAAGCAGAGTAAAGGTAACGTTGCCCTTAGAAGATTTCGCCAACTAGAAAAACCTTAGTGTTGCAAACTGGTGCTCTTCGCAGAATTTTTGTTTGCGAAAAGGAACCTTGTACGGAGAGGTTGGCTCTTGAAAAATCCTTCCTAGCCTTTAGCGAAATTTTCTTCGCAATAAATGGGTTTTCCCAACACTTGGTCCCATGGCAAACATGCATTTGTCAGCTAAAGCTTTTTTAGCCAGACCCCGCTGACTGGCAAAAAAGGTTTTGGCAAAACGTGCTCTCTGCAGAGTAGCAGAAACTACTTCTGTGATTTAATTAGACTTCTTGCCAGACCTAGCCGCTGGAGATACCAAGGCTTAGCAAGGACTGCCACTTCGCTAGCGCTGATCCTCGGGCAGAGGAGGAATGGCACCCTAAGCCCTACAAGTTGAGCTCTTCCGGGTGTACGCTTAGGTTGTGATTGCTTGCAAAACCCGAGCAAGCGAGCTGTAGAGCCGCAAAACAATCTTGGGCAGGGCGGCTTTCGTTTTGGTTCAAGGACTTCTCTGTTTGGATCGCCTGTCATTTACGTGGTACAGAGGGATCTGTGGGATGGAGCAGCAATGTAGCAGTTTGCAAGAACAGCTACTTTTCGTAAAGCAAAGTACGTAGCGTTAGGCTTTTTTTGCACAAGGCAAACGGCCGATGCTGATTTTCACAAATGTTGCTTTTCGCAAATGGCTTTTTGAACAGATTTTGAAAGAGTATCTTTTTGCCCATCGTGGTTGTAAACAAAAAGGAAATGTTCAAACCAAAGCATTTCTCACAGCAGGTCAATTTTGCAAACGGCCATAACCTTGCAAACAGCCCTTTTTCCCAAGACGGAGCTTCTCTGAAGAGAAACTTTGTGCAATAGTTGGCTTTAGCGGGACATGGCTTTCGGCAAGCCCTCCCCTTTCGCGCGCTGTCGTACCGTTTGACTTCACCCTGAGCGCTCGTCCAGCCTAGATTCAATGCAAGTTGTTGCATGCCCCACTGCACAGCTTTCAAGTTAAGAGCATTTCGGAGCCGTGCTGGCAACTCTCTCTCTCTCAGGGGGGGCTTGCTTGCTTGTGTGTCTGTTTACGTCTGTGTCTCTCACGATGCCTGGTGTCGTGAAGTATGTAGGATTCCACATCTGAGTCAAGTACATGCATGGTATCTATGATTTCGTAGTGGCAAAAAAAAGACCTCACATGTGTCCGTACTATACGTATCGATGTATCGATGTATCAAGAGGTTATAGAAGTAAAGACCGGTTGAAGTTTAAGGAATTTCATCTCAGGCTAAGCTTTTGCGAAAGCCACCTGGGCATGTTGGAGCCAGTGAAGTCAATCACGTGCAACTGCTCTTGTCACTGTCACCATTTCAAGGTTTTCTCCCCCATCAGTTCTTCAACCCGCGCCAAGTCATAACGCGCTCATCATTGACCTGAAGCACCTTCCGCCCATCATGTTCCGGAGCACCATGCCTGAGCAAGTGTTGAATGCAAGAAGCAGTGATGACATCCACAACACCTTGTAGCACCCCCCATTTCCAATCCAGAGTCTTGCGTCGAGCAACCTTCGCTTCCTTTGATTCTGCACTCCTGGGAGAGAACCTTGATAGCGCGGAGTCTTGATCGATTGTTGTCTCCTTGATTTCTACGCGGGAGGATTCATGTCCGGTCCGTATGGGGCTTTCCGTGCTAGCAGCTAGACCTTCGTGGCAGTCTTGTTCTCTAAACCCGCTCCGCATTGCCAGAATCAGTCCACAACTTGGTGTCGATCTGCTACCAGGAACTGGTAGCCGGTACTGTAGCCGCAGTTGCCCTTGGCCACCTTGCATTAGGTAGGCTGCTATTTGGCCACCAAGATCAAACTGTTGACGAGGAAATCTATGAATCCATGGAAACATCACCGAGGCTCAACTGTCCATCAGCAGGATTCGCCGTTTAGAGTTGTGAGAACTCATGCAATCGGCATGTGCGCTGTGGGCCGCGGGGCGCATGCTCACGGAACCGCCGTGCTACCGTGCTTGCTCGGCATTGCTGCTATCATGTTCGGACTATTTGGGATTTGCACCGCTTCTTGCAGCCCCAATGCTTTCAAGAAAAGCTCAATCTGAGCATGCCGTAGCCCATGTTCATCGCTGCAAGGATGTTGCGGATGAGATCGTAATTGGGGCAGATAGCCAGGGCACTTTGCCGCAAAAAGCCTCCAAGGCCTGTGCGGACATCAACATAGGCCTGAGGAATTGATGCAGATACTTCTTACTTTCAGCTTACGACGACCTGGGCAACTCAGTGTCTCTCTCTCTTTCTCCCTCTCTCTCTCTCTCTCTCTCTCTCTCACTCGCTCTCCCCTTGGAGACGTCTAGCGCGACAGGTTTCAGCCTTGCATCCTGTGACCGTATAGAATTCAAAACCTCAACTCAGCTGTTAGTTGGACAGCAGGCACTTTTGATGTGAGCTTCCACAGCCTTTGGTCCCTCCTTTAAAGCGGCTGCAGTTTTGCTTAGGCTTCGAACTGCATTGCGCTGGCCACAAGCTCCAGAAGTGCAGCAACTAAATGTCGGAACTGTCCAACAAAAGTTGCGCTGGGACCTCGGTACTCTCTAGCAAAGCAGCGCGTCAAAGTCTGAAGCGCCGTGTTCAGGCAAGGAAGAGTTGGTCGAGATAGAGAGAGCGCTGGGTGCCCAGCAACGCCAGTTCAGGATGGAAGTGTCAATGACAAGCTCCAGGCTTCGTGTGCTGATTCCCATGGACTTGTGGCTTTACTCGTGGGCTTCTGCCGCATCTTAAGTCATGCGCTTCCCTTGCATGCGGAACGTGTTCATTGTAGGTACGTCAGCGCGGACTTCCGGGCTCGTTTGGCAGCCTTGGAAGTGGGAGCCATCTACTGCGCAGAAAGCGAAGTACCACAGGATGGGCAGCGGCAAGTGACGAACGTATTGTACACTTACAGCACAATTAAGGCTTTGGAAAAGTACAAAATGGCAGTTCTTGCGCCATGTCCAGCTAGTTGGCAGCAGGGGCTGCAATAAGACAAGATGGAGAACCTTGATTGAGGTTTCAACCTGGAAATTCTTGGGTGCTAGTGTGGCGAAAACTTTTGTTGAAAAGGGGATTGCGAAGCCACTTGCCTCAGAATTCCGGGCGCAGAAGCCACTAGCTTCAGAGCTTCCAGCAAAGCCACTAGCTTCACTAGATTCAAGGCTTTGGGCAGAAGCCACTAGCTTCAGAGCCTTGGGCGAAGACGTTAGCTTCAAAATCCCGGGCGAAGCTTCCAAGCTGGTGGTTTCAGAGCTCCGGAGCTTCAGGTGAAGCTATTAGCTTCAGGGCTTCAGGCAAAGCCAATAGCTTCAAAATCCAGGGCAAAGCGCTGAAGCTGCTAGCTTCAGAGCTTCAAGAGCTTCGTTCGGTCGTTTTACAAGTAGGTGGCCACTTGAAAAGGCAGAAGACATGCCCAGGTCCTCTGCGGATAGTGCCTCCTTTTGACGTGCTGGTATTCATGACAAAGTTCATAATCTGCTTTGCGAGTTGCATGTGTACTGTGAAAATATTTCAAATGTGGGACAGCTGACGGCAGTCTGTGGTCCTCTCTGCACGGGATGTCAACTGCAGAGAGCTGCGTAAGTCCAGAAGTAATGAAACCCTGCGTGCTGTCTCTCAATTTTTTCTCACTTGCGTTGCCAGTAGTTTGCGACAACTGGTTGAAACAGCTCCATCCTGCATTAGCCAACCAGCAACTCTGGATGTTTCTGTATGCATCCAGGAATGTCGGTGGCACTGAGCACAAGTCAGCTTCTTGTTTGTTTTCAATCTTGCGCATTCACGCGCCAGGTTTCTAACAATATTTTGTTCTAGTCTTAGATGTCTCAGGCTCAGGTATTGTCAAAATACTGCCAAGATTGCAGCTTTGCGGGCTGAGGTAGTTCATGTTAGAGGACATGGCGTTTCATTTTTTACAAGTCAAGATGTCGAATGCAAAATGACATTCACATCATGTATTCAGTAGGTTCTCCGTCTTGTGTGAAGTGCTCGCAGGTTCATCTCCCTTCTGATGCTGACCTGGGCGGTTGCATTGCCTCACGTGAAGCTGTGTAGGGCTTACGATTTGATCAACGTTGAAGTCAACACTTTAAACGTCTGGGCTTCTGTGGTTGAGTTGACGCAGCGGACTGCCAAGGTCCAATGTGGTGCAGATGTCTTTGAAGGACAGGCTGAGAAGGATCTGAGATAGATTGACCCAAGGTCATTCCTTCGATGCAGAAATGCTAGTGTGCTTTTTGTTAGGCAGAACGATTGGATGATCTGGGATCCCCTTTTTAGTCATGTGCCTGACTGATGCTGCCCATGCAGGTTCAAGATATCGGTTGCTCAAAGCAAGTGCGTAATCCATGCTGAAAGACTACTTCACATGGAAGACGCTGACACATGACAGCCTTACATTGCTGAATGGAGCTGGTTGTGTATGTCAGGCTGTCAAATAAAGTCAAATGCAGATCTAACACTGCCAGCGTGGTGTCTCTTTCATGGCGAGCAGTTGCAGTGAGCATGGGCCCCTTTCGGCTACTTGATGAGGCGGGATGGGCAGATGTCGGGCTTGCAAGTGTAGCGCTGAAGGTCCAAGCATAGGGCAAGAAAGCAGCTGGAGACAATGTCCCTGCAGGCCCGATCTGCGTATGCGCAGTGGGCAGCAGTCAGTGATGACGATCTTCCAGTGCTACCACCCCCACGCACGCACTATGCACAGACGGCTTGCATACTTGATGCGGTTAGGAGATATGCGGAGCTGCCCATTTCGCATATTCAGCTTAGGATACGTGCTTTAGCGACTCCGGCAAGCAAGAACCTCGGCCAGCGCCGCGGGCTAAGGCTCTGTTCGGATGGATTCAAATTAATTACACAAAGATTGGTGGCGGCGGACGCAGCAGGAGGCTCTGTGGCAGCGTTGACGGGATTCGAGTCATGCAGCAATCGTACCTTTACGAAAACAGCACTTGCGGCGAGAAGGCCAATCCACATCATCCCTCCATCTGTTGGCCCAACATGGGTTATAAGAGTGAAGGGGTGAGGGTGAGGTCAGGGCTTCCTCATTGTAACAGCGCTTTTGCCGGTGCAGGGTAATGCAGGCCTCTCTGAGACAGGTGGTGCACACTTTCCGCATTCAGCAATGATGGCCAGACGTGAGTCATAGCACTGGGAGGGGGGGTGTCATCAACGTCACAAGTATCAGATGGATGCAGTGAATTTCGTACACCGTGCCAAAGGAGCTTCGTGTTGTACAAGACATGGGCTTGCATGTTGTGTGGAGCATGTACTGGAGTCCCAGTCGATGTTTGTTGCATCTGCAAGAACGACCACAGCACACATGCGTGCTACGAAGCCAGTCGTGCAACAACCTACCAGGATTGTGAACTATAGGCGCCCACCCCAACTGCGCCTACGTGATGCACGTGCTCGCACGGGTCTGCATTCATTAGTTCATGCTCGACCAACGGCTCAATGCAACCTTTCAAACGCACTCGCGCTTTCGCAAGTGCCATGAGGAACTGCCATTCTACACAGAAGGCGTGGCAGCGGTCCATCTTAGTCTAGCTATCCCTCATGTCTCCTACTGCCGTGCCTGCGCACCTGCAAACGTGCAGGCGCCGTTGGGAGACCATAAGCTTGTTACACCAGCAGTTCATGCATTAGATGACGCCTGTGGTTTCTATGAGCTCGTCATGCTTGATTAACCCTGCCCCACTGAAGCTACCAGCGGTGAATCATTTGAAATTTGAACGTATCTTCCAAGGTTGACATTACATGGAATCTGCATGCCCGAAAATGCCTGGATCTAGCCATAACATTTTCCACTAGCTGATTGCCGGCGGGAAACCGTTGGCCACAGAGAGCTGTGAGAAGCCTGCACGCTTGCAATGGCTTGACGTGCTCATGTGCAACGTGACAGACCCACTGCAACGCACGCTATCGAGCCCAGGTCAGCACGACCGCGCTTTTGCGATCCCCAGCTCAACATGCCCAGCACCATCTCGCCACACAGCAAGCTGGAAGCGTCAAGAAACACGTCAGGGAGGCGAAAGGTGAGTCGATTCCTTCTCGCCCGGCAGTGGCCGTAGAAAGGTTTGTGCGTGCTGCACGGCACTGTACAGCATTTGTCTGCATCATACTCGGGTCATGCTCTTCGGGACAAGTGCTTGGCCATGACATCGCGTGGCAAGTGGGAGCGAAGCAGGCCATGTTGTGTAACTTGGACCATCCTGGACCGGACGGAAGAAGTCTGGAGAGGAAAATGCCGCGATGCGCAACGGAGCTGAAATTCAACTAGGGATTATGTGCTCACCGTGGCAGACAGCAAGGGGGACGGGGGCGTGAATAGTTTTGCCTCTTGCCTCCTAGACAAAGGGTTCGGAGGCACACGCTCCCACTGGCGGAGTGATAATGCAAGCCGCAGGCTTCGCGAAGCAGCTAGACCGCAAAGCAAGGACCGTCCAGCAGTGCTCCCCCAATACATCCGGCGTTTGACAGAAAAGGCCCCCGTTTTTCGCACGGTTCCAATTGATTCCTTGACGGCGTGTCTAGCTTGAAGAACAAACTGGTCCCTGACCGCAAGAAACAATCATCCAGTCTTTCATATGAGTCACGGCATTTGCCGAGCACGCGCTGCCAAACCCTTGCAGCGCGATGAACCACAGCATCGTCAGTAGAAGCTTCTGTCATGGGCCTGGTAGGCCTGGATTTCCGAATCCAGCAGCTCGGGACGATCTGATCGCGCCACCATGAGCAATGGTCCTGGCAGATTCCGGTGTGCAGCAACAGCAAAGCATCACTAACCGCTTACCCCGCGAGAATGGCCCCAAACAGAATTTGAGCAGAATTTGGAATCTCCGCACAGCTCCGAGGCTGCCTCTACACCTCACAGCAAAGCGCACAGCGATGCATAAGACCCAAACCTGTCAAGGTCAGGCTCAGCAATATGATACAAAGCACGGTCAGAGGCCTGCAAATTGAAGACACATCTACAACCTTGCGCATCATCAGTCCAGATGACACTGGAGCCAAGGCAATGATTGTTAGCAGTACTTGCATTCAGACGTCCCAGCTGCTAATGTTTTCGTAACTGGTAGCAGTACTGTGGGCATGTCTGACAGTGGCAATCTCGCATGCCGCGCTGCCCTTCGCCACTGTGCTCCAGTGCTCCGGCACCTCACCCGAGCCGCCCTTCTCTCAGCTCTGAAAAACGGGAGGAGGGAGGGATTCGATTGTCGACCTGATTTGATGCCGGTGTTTGCAATAGGTTGATGGGCAGGTCAAAAACCGCGCGTGCTGTGACATGCAGGAACGAAAGCGTGAGGTTTCCAAAACATCAACAAGGCCCTGAGCACTTGAATGCCTCATGTGTTTATGCAATCTCATCTTCGAGATTAATTATCGATGTTATGTCAAGCCGACCGAGTGTCTCGCGCATGCTTGTTTGCGTGGCATCACGAGGAGGCAGCGTCACAACCCTGGAAGAGCATCAGCTTCCATCACTCCACGGTTTTCAAACAGGGCCGAAACTTATCCCGATGGAACACATGACAGGTCACAGCTCTCGTCATGAACAAGTGCCAATGCAATGGATTTTTTGAAGGCAGTTTGAGTAGAAGCCATACATATTTCTCATCCTTGCCTTGTCGGGCTGCTTCGATTTTGTTGAGACGTATGCTCGATGTTTGAGGAAAATCCGATCTGGCATACGCAGCTCGGTCTTCGCTCCGGACATGGTGCAGCTGGCGCAAAATGGAAACCCAACAATGCGTGGTTGAATCAGCGCTCTCACTTAAACATTGCAATTTGGTACTCTTAGCATCGGATCAGTCCAAAGCTTTTGATACCGCAGACCCCGGACGTTTGATCCCAGCACTTGCCCGGCTGCTTGGAATTCTCCAAAAAACTGCAGCACAATGATGCAAGCCACAAGCAACAACAGGCAGGTCATCGTGCATAATGCATGGATGCGCCCAGTCGTGCATCAGCGACGTTTCGGGATGTGTCAGGGCTGCCCGCTATCGCCGTTTTTGTTTGCAATTCTCCTCACGGTCTTGATTCACCGTGCAGTTCTTGGGTTCCGTACCACGTCACTTAGGGTCCCAGCTCGTATCGCCAGAGCTGACGTCACAAACCTACAATCGGCCAGACGTTCAGAGCTACCGGTTCAGGAAGCCGCTGGGGGCATTCGCGTGCTGACGCAGGCAAATGCGGGAAGCAAACAGTTCCATGTCGCTGCGTTGTTGGGCTGTCGATTTTGCCGGCGTTGTAATGCGTGCCGGCTGTGTGCAAATCGCGTAGCAATCCGGGAAATTGAAATGGTGTTTGCTATGCATCCGCTGATGACGCCGTTTTCGGTTGTGCATCAATCTAGACTCCCTAGGGTCCGCATTGGCCCCCTTCGGACATCATGATTTCCCATACAAGATAAGTGGAACACTGCCCGAAGATTTTTCGTTTCCTCGCACCTTTCTGCAACTGATCCGCACAGTCCCTGTGCAGAAGCCCATGCGACACCAGGCTGGCTTGCTGGCCACTTAACCTCAAGTGGACATGCGACTGGCAGGTGCTGAAGGTGGTTTTTGGGTGAGAAAGTCATTGAGGTCTGGCATAGCCACGGCTGGACCTTGGCATGGGTTCATTTTCGAGCGCGACTGTTGGTCATAATGACATAATGTTTGCAAAAAGAAGGGACGCAGAGAACTCTTCCCGGGACGAAGCAATAACACTAATAAAGCATAATAGATGGGCCGGCATACTTGAAACTTGCAGGTATCATTTGCACAGGTAAACAACCGTGTTTCACAGCTCTCGCACACGAAGCTTTAGCCAAACATAATTTTTTTCACCCATTCACTTCAGCCAATGCCTTGCCAAGGCAAGTCTGAATCCGATCATCTGTCCAAACAGACTTGCCAAAACATGTCAGGCACATCTCGTATCATGGCAGCATGTCTCGCGGCAAAGTGCTTAAACACCGTGCCGTGGCCGTGACGCCAACATCCATCAAGCTTGCTGAGAGCGCGGAAGGAGATGTGCGCAAGATGCTCGGGCTTGCAAAAGAAAGTAATTTTCCAGCAGTCCAAAAAACCATGGCAAACAAATACCGTGATGTTTGTTTGATGGGAGGATGTGAATGGGATGATGTGATGATGTTGTTGTATCCGGGATGTTGTTGTACTGTTGTCGTGAGGTATCGCACGGGGT